TATTAAAGCAGTTATTACTCTCTGATGCTAAACAACTGTCAAATGATATTTTATACTTCTAGGGTACTAGGATGGAAAGATGCTTAGAAATCACAGTAACACAAGAAGCTGCACTGCAATCCCAAAGGGGGGTGGTTCAAACCCACCAGATGCTTTGCTGAAGAAGGGACAGTCTCCTCCTGTACCAGGCAGATCCAATTTGATGGTACAGATGTACAAAAATAATAATAAAATAATATGAAATAGAAATCACAGTAACAGTCATAATTAAATTAGGATAGAGGAATGAGGCTAGGTGTTTCAAACGCAGGAAACAACACATAAAATTCATTATAGAGGTATTGCATGGGATGGAGAAACCAAAAGGGAAAATGAAGGTTGGTTGAAGATTAGTAATTGCAGAAACTGCCGTTACTCCTTGGCCTGGAGGAATAGAAGGAAACACAGCCATTGCTGCCCCTGTCATCGCTGCTAAACAACTGTGGCTTCCTCTCCAGCTAGAGCCACCACCGGAAGCTGGGGGGAAGTGACTTTTCTTTCTATCCCACCATCTGTCTCTTACCAGCACCTCCTGTTGGCAAGATCTAATACGAAGTCAGTTGCCAAAGGAGTCTGGGAAAGGCAGCCAGTGTAGAGAGGAGAACCTGTAGAGAGGAGAACCTAAGACAAGTGTGGACAATCACTTTGTCTAAACTATTTGGTTTTCAGTTCAGACCAAAGTCCAGGAAGGGTGAGCAGAAGGGACCAGCCTGTAATCACACAGCTAGGTCTGCAAATCTCTCACCTAATCTAGAGTAGTGTGGATCGTTGGGTTCCAGGACTAACAGTGATTTGGCAAATCATTCTTTTCTAATCAAATGTTCTAATCAAAACCACAGTCTCTGACATCCCGAAGCCCATTGCTGCAGTCACTATGTCAATCCACATAATGTCAGAGATGATGAGGATGGCACAGGATAGGACAGGGTTCAGATCTCTTGTTCATAGGGCTGCTATGAGTCTTACTCAAATCAATAGCACTTAACAAGCAACAACAACAGATTCCACCAAAACCCTCACATTTATTTTCATAGGTGAGGGGGGAGGTGTGCTGTACGGTCTGAATGATAAGGAGTGGCATGGTGGCCCTCACTCAAGCAGTCTGTGTGCTTTTTCAGATCCCAACAATGAGGTGACTTTTATATTTTTTTTAGAGAAAATATAGATAAGTACACACACAAAAAGCGTGAAATCACCTGTGAAACAAACACCAGCCATTATCCCTGTTACCCTTTTGCGGTTTATCTGCCCTGCTTTTTTCATGCACCTTTACTGTGTGGTTTGTGTTTGCTTTTACAAGCATGTGATTACCTTGTAAACACTGTTTCGTAACTGTTCTCTTCCAGCAAACACTTTAAGTCACCGTGTACATGGTCGTCCATTTCTGCAAAGAATTTATCCATCTCTTTTCATTAAACATTTAGATTGCTTACCCTTTTGAGGTTGTTTATGAACAAAACTGTAGGAACTATTCATAATATTAAAGTTTTACCATTTTTAAAAGTCATTGCCTAATTTTGCCTGAATGTGGAGTCAAGCATGTGACCTTTGCTAGCTTCTGAGTGCTCGCTCAGCCGTGGGTAACTCATCTTGGTGGAAGCTGACACGGCCTCTCCTCCTGAGGTCTTTCCCACATTTCACCGGGCTCGTTCCTCTGCCTCCCTGTCTGGTTGACTGTTGACACCAACAGCTGTTTTCATAGTTTCTTCAAGAACTTATAAATCCTTTCCTCACCCAGCTACAGCTTTTCCTCTAGGAAACTTAGGGTGCTGCCCATCACTAGGGGCTTCAGCCACTTTCTTTTCCTGCCCCCAATTCCTTCCTTCATCAAGGCTCTGGTGATCTAGTGAGAAAATGCTGTGCTGCCAATCCAAAGGCAAATGGTTTGAGTCTACCAGCTGCTCCATGAGAGAAAATGTTCAGTCTCCTCCCTTGCAATTTACAGCCTCTAAAGACCTGTTGGAAGGTCAGGCAAGAGTTGGTTCCGACTTGACAGCACAGAACAGCAATATCAGTGCTCACTAGGCTTCTAGAAGGATTTAATGTTATCCATTAGGGAGCTCTGGTGGCCTAGCGTCAAGAAACTGTGCTACAATTCCAAAGGCACACAGTTCAAATCCACCAGTTGCTCCTTGGGGGAAAATGGGCAAGATTGTCCACACACCTGCCTGTGTGAGTAACAGCCTCTGAACACCTGCTGAAGTGTCAGGTATGGGTTGGTCCTGACTCGATGGTACGCAACAACAACAACAACGTTGCCCATTAGACTTTTCCTGTGACATTAGAGGTTATACTGGCATTTGGCATTTGGGAAATCTAGCCATGTATAAAATCGGTTTCTATCAGTTGCAGGCAGCTTGATTTCAAGTCAGTTTTTGGAGTACCTTCTTGTTCTTGGGACATGTTGGGATCTGCCTATGTGCATTGTGTTTGGCAAACTGCTGATTGCTGTTCTGAGCCAGTAAACCCCAAATCAACTGGGATTCTTCATCAGACCTCCATAAGTGGAGAAACGTTGCTTAATTTTTATGAGTTTCTTTCAATGAATCTTAATCTTGAATTGTGGATGCTTAAAATACATTCTAAAATCCAGAAACATCACTGAATGCATTGTTGTTGTTGTTCTTGTGTACTGTAGAGTCAGAACTGACTCATGCTGACCATCCAGCAGGTTTTCAGAGGCAGTTAATCCCAACCTTCTCCCACAGAGCAGCTGGTGGCCTTGAACCATGTGCCTTCAGGATTGCAGTGCAGCTTCTTGCCACTAGGCCACCAGAGCTCCCTAACTGAATGCATTACTAGGCCAAAATTAAGGATACCTATAGAATAGACGTCATGGGGTTTTCGAAGACCTGATGTTTCAGAAGTGTATAGTCAATCCTTCTTCCCAGTCTGTCTTGATTTAGGAGATCAGCTTTATTACAGTATCTGACAGACAAGTGGTTCACCCAAAAGAACAGATGATAGAGAAGCAAACATATATGTATCTAAGCTGTTAAGAGCATCAGCACACAGAGACACTTTGACATGCAAAGACACTTGCCCAGCACAAAACCTGAAAGGTAAATCTGTTGTTGGTCTCATCCCTTCTTTGGCAAGGATTTTGAAACTCTCTCACATACTTTGGGTTTGTGAGGAGGGGCCAGTCCTTGGAGGAGGACATGCTTGGACAAGTGGAGGGTCAGTGTAGGAGAAGATGACCCTGGACTGACACAGTGGCCGCAAAAGTGAAGTGGGGTCAGGTATCAGAGACAGTGAGATGGGCTCAGGAGAGGGCAAGGTTCGGAACACTGTTCGTAGGGTTGCCATGAGTAGTAGTTGACTTGATGACACCAGAATCACAACAACAACAGCGTAGGAGAGTTCAGGGAGCTCCGCTCAGTGGGAGGAATTACTCTGTCAACCCAAATGTACACGATTTGAATCCTCCAGCTGTTCTAAGCGAGAAAGATGGGACATATACTCTTGTGTGATTTACTGTCTCGGAAAAGCTACTGGAGGGTCAGCAATGAGTCAGTTCAGACTCAGTGGTATAGGATGACAACAATAAAAGGGTTAAAGAAGAAAATTGCCCTGAAAGCAGATGGTTAAATCAGGGCTTGTTTCCATTCATTGGGAAACCCCTTTAATCAAGTAAAGAAATCAGATAGTTGGAAACATTGGAGATAACAACCACCATATCTGCTTGTCTACTAGGAACTGTCTTGAGTATCTAGCAAGTACCAGGCACCACTGTGTACTTATTATACTATGTTTCTGGTATTTACAATCTTATAAGGTTGTTGTTGGTGGTGGTATGTATAATCAAGTTGGAACCGACCCATAGCTGACCCTCCAGTGGGTTTTCAGAGACCGTTTTTATCACATGAGAGGAGATTGCCCATCATTCTCCTACAGAGCAGCTGGTGGATTTGAACCGTATGCCTTTGGGATGGCAGTGAAGCTGCTTACTAGGTTACCAGAACTCCCTATATTAGGTAAATATTCTTAATGTACAGAGAAAGAATCTACAAGTTAAGGGTAAAATTATTTTATGGAATTACAGACTGAAGAGATTGGGACTTTGGACTTTTAAAATCTTTTTGCACCCTTCTCTATGACCAAATGGATATTTTATATCCATAATGGTGGAACAGCAGCTGGTAGAAGATTCTTGGAGTTAATGGCTAAGGAATCCGGCAAAACAATGTATTAGTTAAGGTAACACTGCCTCCCTCCTAAAGCAGTTAAATCCCAAGTCTCAGTGACTCAAGATGATGGCAGTTCATCCTCTCCTGGGTAGAATCCTCTGAGGTGGAACTCTATGTCACACAGCCATTCATAGAGCCAGGCTGATGGGAGTTATTTTCTACATCACAGTTCCCCCTGGGCAAACGCATCAGGCTGAAGGAGGAGTGGAGATGGATGGTGGGCACTGGAGGTTTATGGGTGAGGCCTTGAATTGTTATGCTTCTGTCTACATTCCATAGTCGCATGGCCACACCTAACTCTATTAGTCTGTCTTTATGCCCAGAAGGAAAGGCAACTGAGTTTTTTGAACAATTGGTCTCTGCTTCCTATGCTCATCCGTCTGTTGGGAGGGAACAGTAATTGTATTGTACAATCTGTCTTTAAGACTCAGGATAGGTATGTCTGTATTTCTCTGCCTTGGCACAGACTTATCATGACACAATAAGAAGTGTCCAAACAAAGAGACTTGGAAGAAGGCTCTGATAATCTACATCTGAAAACGAGTGAGCCAGAGGAAATCCTAGGGCTCTGTCTCAACAGCCTGACCTCATTGTGCATGAGGTCACCACGTGTTCAGCCCCTGCCGCCACAGCAGCTAAGAGCAGCAGCATTTTTAAGCTGAGGAAAACAATAGCATTTTTAAGCTGAGTTCTTCTCTGGGCTCCTTCTCCACTTCCATTTCTCTCCCCTCACTGGTCCTCCTGAGCTGACGTCATGTACTCTGTCCCCAGGGGGCCCTGGCCCAGCCGCAGCCCTGGTGGAAGATCCAGCTGTTTGTGTGGGAGCCAGTGCTGTTCGGGACCTGGGATGGTGTGTTCACATCCTGTATGATCAACATTTTCGGGGTTGTCCTTTTCCTGAGGACTGGCTGGCTGGTGGTGAGTGGTGTGCTGGTGGCCAGAGCCTGTGGTGGGACGGGATGGGGTGGGAGGTCTTCACTCTGGGCCTTCCACAGTACAGACATCAGATGTTCCAGAAACATGAAGCAAGAAACGCACCAAGGAGCTAGCATTGCTTTCCATGAATCTTGAGAGCTGGGGCTCAGGTGGGGGTTCAGATGGAAGCCTCACCATGGGTATAACTAGAGATATGAACACACCATGGTGGAGCAAGGTGATCACACTGGTGGGAGCTGGCCGCTGATGGTGGCCCTCTCCAGCTCTCCTTGTATGATTTATCCAGTGTCCGTGCAATGGCTACAGCTCCTCTCTCACCTTGGCACCTTCCTCTGGTCCACCTGACCTCATGTGCGAGGCTGTGTGTGTCAGAGTCCTAGATGGCCTACTTCTCGGGGACAGATTTCCTGAGGCAGACTCTCCCACAGGAGCCCATTTCCTCTTCCACAGCAAAGGGACTTTTCTTTAAGTTTTCTAAGAAAACAACCTAGAACCTTCCCAGCATTGTACGTCCCTCACAAGAGTTCTCAGCCCTTCACATGCTGTTGCTTCCCTGGATTTCAGTAAATGAACCTGGCCTCTCTATAGCTTCCTCTCCATCTGAATCCAAGGGTGGCCCCTGCGTCTGGAAGTGATGGCAGAGGAAACCCAGGTCAGTATTGGCCTGGGCTCCCGGCGCTGCTCCATGCAGGGCCGAATTTGGGGAAGGCAAGGGAGATTTCTCCCAGTACATCATTGATGGTCCCTGTTAAGCCCTTACGGTGTGATTTTTTTATGGGCCTGTCTGTGCAGAAGGGTCACTTGGATCCCTGAAGTAAAGGCACAGATTGCATTAGCTGCCTAATGTGTAACAAAACTGTTGAGTTGGTTCCAAATCATGGCAGCCCTCTGTCAGGTTTCCCATCGCAATGGGAGGAGACAGCCCATCTTTCTCCCAAGGAACTGCTAGGGGACTTAAACTAACAGAGCCAAAGTCTCCTTTGCCTTAGAAGTACAATTCTCTATAGGCTATACCATCAGAGCTTCCAGCTGTATAAACTACCCAGAAGAAGGTGGACTAACACAGTGACTAACTCTGTCAATGGGCTCAAGTGTATCAGAGATGAGGGTGGCATAGGATGGAGCCAAGTCCAGATCTGTTATTCATGAGTTGTGGCACCTAGCAACAACAAGAACACCATTTAGGAGCTTGAAGCAGCTAAAATGCATAATCTTATCATTTCTGTGGTTCACCTTAGGTTGGTGCCTCTGGATTAAGCCCTGAAGGCCGAGGGAGGAGGGGTGAACTATTTCTAGGATCACTTACATGGTGGTTGAAAGGCTTTGGTCCTGTATCACATGAGCCTCCACTTGGCTTCCCCTGGGGAGGACAATGTAAGAGAAAGTGGGAGAGAAGGCAGCCACGGTCTTTTTAAAGCTCTAGTCCCAGAAGAGGTAGCCTGTAACTTTTGCAGTCCTGTATTCATTAGGGGTGGGTCAGTGGGTCCAGCCCATGCTCAGGAGGAAGCCATTATACAAGGGCAAGGATGCCAGGAGAGAGAGGGGTCATCAGGGGTTATCAACCACACAAACACACCCTTTCCCTGCCACAAGGATCTCTCTCCCAGCCTTGACACGCATTCTTATCTAGAAGTTGATTTGATCTTGAAACAAAGGCACATGTGAAATTCTAAAAATAAAGCAGAGCATCAAGGGGGTTGCCTAAAAATAAGCAGAGATCATGCCAATTTTTTTTTTTGCTCCTCCCACCCTTCCACCATTTTTTTTAAATAGAAGATAGTAACGCTAAAGAACTATGTGGCAGTATGCTTAATAATTTAGAATATGTCAAAGTGACAGTTTGGTAGGAAAGCGTAAAGATATTATGGGTACAGGATATTTTATTATCTATCACATGCAGACAGTTGAAAAGCATGAACAAAGGGTGGAAAATGGTAAGGCTATAATTCCATTAAAAATTTTAAATCAGTAAGTTAAGTAACCTCAGTGCTCTCATGCTGCCGTTGCTAATAGGTAGCTGACTGGCGTCTCATCACGGAAGGCTGAGGAGATGGAGAAGTGAGGCAGGCGCGTGAGAACTCTGCTTGGCTCCTCTCAGTTCTTTCCTGATCTCAACACTCACACTGCAGCAGTGCCCACATGCAGGGGGGAACACAGGGTGGTCAGTTATCCAGAGGGACTGTGGCTCGTGGATCCTCTGTATTCTAACTCCCGGCCTGCTCCTTGCTGCAGGGAAACACGGGTGTGGTCATGGGCATGGTCCTGGTGTCCTTCGTCATCCTCGTGGCCCTCATCACCGTGCTGTCCGGCATCGGGGTCGGGGAGCATTGCAGTGTGGGCAGCGGCGGCGTCTACTCCATGATCGCCTCCGTCCTCGGCGGCCAGACCGGAGGCACGATAGGACTGCTCTATGTGTTTGGACAGGTGAGCCAGAAATGGAATGCTGCGTCCAGAGGCCGTGTGATATCACACGTGTGATAGTCTTCACTCTCCTTGCTAATTGACAGCATTTTCTCATATACATTATCATTTGACCCAGTGGGAAGTGAAGGTGGGACAACTAACCCCATTTTACAGATGAGCTCAGAGTCAAGGCCCTGGTCCACCTCCACCATCTAGTTCCTGATGTGACCATGCCTAAATCTATCCTTGCTGCCTTCCCCAGGGAGGGGCGTACACAGCAATGGCTCCAGCTGGTTGCCTGGGGCAGCTCCGCCCTGGAAAAGGAAGGAGACTTTTATTTGGGGGGATTTCCTAGAAGCAGACAGACACTTCTCAAGTGAGTGAGTGAGCTTGGGCTCATTGATGGCGTGGATGGTCTACAGGGAGGCTGAAAGCCCCTGCGTGGGAAGGAGAATACTGATGAAAGGGCAGCTCCCTCAGGATGGCTGAAGACTCGCAGAACCCCAGCGACTTTGGGGAGAAATACTGAGGCTTATTTAGCTGAAAACACAGGAATGGTGACTTAATGCTGAGGAAACAAAAGTGCAGACATTAAGAAGTAGCTAAATATTAAAATAAAATTACAAACAAAAACAAAAAAAGAAGTAGCTCTTTGTAAGCATTTCTTGGATTTAAAAAGGCTTTTATGAGCGTGCAGAGGGTGGTGGGTGGTTGAGAAAACAGTTGAAGGATAAGAATCTGTCTAAAAGCACGAGTGTCTCGTCAGAGAATGCACGGGGTTTGAGTCTTTTCTTTTTAAGCAGCAGGGACTGGGCATTTCAGCATAAATACATCAGACGCTCCAGTGGCACAAAGCTCAGCGGTGTGTATGCATGTGGGACAAACCCATGGAAGGCAGGCAGATGGATTGCCACAGCAGCTTAGAAAGCGCTGGGCTTTCCTGGGGAAGGAGTTTTAATCATTGCAGTTTGAGAGGTGCGTAGTAGATGGTCAGTTTACCTTATTGCCTTGGGGGTTGACATCAAAATATTTCACTTCTCTGCTAACTTAATGGCCCCACAGGCTTCAAGATGGTAAATCAAAGTCCTCAATTTCTCCACCCTGTGGGTGGTCAACTGCCAGCCTCTTGAAGCTGATAGAAGCCTCACATAGGGATCCAGTGTTAAAGAGGTAGGAAGAGCCTGGAGAGAGACAGCAAGTGGTGACTCTCCCGCATGTGCGTAGATCTAGAAGGAAAGGGGTTCACAAATAAAATGCTTAATAAACACTGGTGACAATGACATCATCATTCCTGTGCGCTGGGCCTCCTTTCCTTTGGGGCTTCAGTTTGAGAGCCCAGGGTTCCTTGAGGTCAGCGTCTTTGGTCTATCTTTGCTTTGTCTGATGCTCAGCTGAGCTGGGGGTCCTTGATCAGATGTGGTTGCTGTGTTTGTCTGTTGCTGAATTCTGTTAATATTTTCCTGAGGGTCTTTGTATCTGTAGTCATAAGGGATATTGGAAGATTAATTTTTTATGTCTTTGTGAAATATTAGTAGTATCAGGTTAATCTGGCCTCATAGGATAAATTAGGACATTAAGGGAACTCTGGTGGCCTAGCGGTAAGAAGCTGCGCTGAAATCCTGAATTTATGCGGTTCGAATCCACAAGCTGCTCCATTAGAGAAGGATGGGCAGTCTCCTCCTGTGTGATTTACTGCCTCTGAAAACCCGCTGGTGGGTCAGCTCCAACTTGAAGGTACACAACAACAACACTTGCTTTATATTTTTTTTTAAGTTTTTCTTAAGAATTGGTTTTACTTTTTCTTTAAGTATTTAGTAGAATTTACCGATAAAGCTGTCTGGACTTGGGCTTCCCTTTTGGAAATTTTTTATTACTAATTCATTCTCTCTGTTTGTTAAAGATTGCTTCAGATTTCATTAGGATTCTCGAGTTAGTTTTGGTAGTTTGTATCTTTCTAGGAATTTGCCCAATTCATCTGGGAGATGCGATTTAGTGGCCTACATAGTTCACAATAGTCCCTTAGAGCCCCTCTAAGTTAGTGAGATTGCTGGCATCTCCCCCATTTTTATTTGTGATTTTAGTAATTTGCATGTCCTCTCTTTTTCTTGGTAGTTCTGATTCAAAGTGTATCAATTTGATTCTTTTTCCCTTCTATTCTGTATTTCTTCTTCCTATTTTTTAAAATTTTTATTTTATTATTTTTTTGTGCATTGTACCGTCAAATCAGATCTGACTAGTACAGGAAGAGATTGTCCCTCCTTCTCCAGCAAAGCATCTGGTGGATTCGAACCAGGCACATCTGGGATCGCAGTGCAGCTTCTTGCCACTAGGCCACCAGAGCTCCCTTCTATTCTGTATTTCATACCTAATCTGTATTATTCTTAATGTAGAAAGTTAGGCTCTCAAGATTAGATCTTCTTTCTTGCAGGGAGTAGTTAAGTTTTCCTATTCCTGGATCTTGCTGGTCTCCAGCTAACCCTTCATTCTACAGCATGCATGCACAACTTAATTTTTGTTTTGTGCATATGTGTGTGTATAAACTTGTCCAGTTCTCAGATGCATAGCAAATTATTGAAAAGATCTTGCTCTGAATCAGGTACACCTTAGTCCTCAAACTGACATCATTGCTCTTCAGTCATATGAAGATGTCCTTGACTGCAGACTTTTCCAGTGCAAGTCCTGACTGCTGGTACCAAGTGTGTTGATTGTAGATCCAAGTAAGATGGAGTCATTGGCAGTTTCAGTCTTTTCTCTATCTATTATGATGTTTGGAAACAGGAGTAGCATCCACTTCCTAGATAACATGCCTCCGGAAACTTTATGAACTTTGATAAATGTTGATAGTTGTAGAGGGGCTTCAGGCCTTTTGTGCATAGGGTTGCTATGAGTCGTGCTCGACTTGAAGGCAATCAGCAGCAACAACAACAACATCATGATGTTGCCTATTGGTCCAGTGGTAAGAACTTTTGTTTTTTTAGATGTTGGATGGAACCTATATTGAAGGCTGTAGTCTTGGATCTTCTGTAGTAAGTCCTTCTAGTCCTCCCTACTTTCAGCAAGCAAGGTTGTGCCATCTGCATAATGCAGATTGTTGATGAGTCTTCCTCCATATCTAAATGTCACATTCTTCTTCATAGAGTCCAGCTTGACAAATTATTTTATAGAAAAGGCTGTGGCAACAGGGATGTCATTGTGAAGGAGAACTCAGAGACTTGTGGGAGGTAGAATGTCTAATTTTATTTCATTTTTAAAAATAATAATTATGCTTTCAGTAAAGGATATATGTTGTTGTTGTTGTTGTTGTTAAGTGTCATTGTGTTGTAGATGACTCATAGCGACCCTATGAACTAAAGACCTGAACACTTGTATAATTTTCATCCTTTCTCCATGTTCATACAGTTTCCGGAGGCAAGGCATTTCAGAAGTGGATGCCACTCCTGCTTCCAAAAGGATATGTAGACAATTATATTGTCATTCAACAATTTTTATGCAGATTTTTCAATGCTGTTGGTTACATTCTTTATAGTGCATCAACAATATAATTATTTTCATTCTGTTTGTTCCATTTTAAGTAATCTAGTTTTCCTGCCCCTTTACTTTCTAATTTTTGCTTTAAAACAATTGTTTTAGTATCATAGCAATAAATGATTTCTTAAAGGATGATACTACTCCAGGGAAATGGGCCTTATTTTGCAAGTTAACTTGTTACTTAGCTAAAAAGTGACCTCAGGTTGTTTGGGTTCATGGTTTGAAGAGTATTTCAAAGCAACAGTCTTGGAAAGCCTATTTTCTCAACTGATCTTGATAAGTCTGGATATTAATTGTCTTCTGTGTTATTCTCTTATTCTGTCAGAATCTCTCAATTTTTGTCCTGATTAGAAATACCCATAATGGTAACTGGGCACCATCTAGTCCTTCTGGTCTCAAGATAGTTGTTGTTGTGTATTATTGAGTAGCAACCAACCCATAGCTGACCCTCCAGTGGGTTTTCAGACAGTTAATCGCACAGGAGGAGATTTCTCATACTTTTCCCCAGGAGCAGCTGGTAGATTCAAACCATATGCCTTTGGGATTGCAGTACAGTTTTTTACCACTAGGCTATCAGAACAAGATTGAGGCTGTAGTTCATCTAGACTTCTCTGTGGCTAATTTCTTTGAGTCTCCAATTTTCTCTCTCCTTTACTGTGGACAAATAGGAAATCGCAGTTGTAATTTCAGATGGGTATCTGCAAATTTTTAAGACCTCAGACACAACTCACCAAACTGAGATACACAATGTAAATTTTACCAACTATATTCTGGCAGCTGTCTGAATTGTCTCATGAAACTATGGTCCCAACTCAGCCTTCAATCCAGAAAACTAATCCTGTGAGGTTTTGGTTATATCTGAGAAGTGCCAGAGTGCTCCTTGGAGGCAAAGATGATAAAGCTTCTTCATCTCACATACTTTGGGCATGTTGTTAGGAAAGGCTATTTGTTGGAGAAGGTCATCATGCTTGGAAAGGTGGAGGGTCAGTGTAAGAGAGAAAGATTCTCAACCAGATGGATTGGCACAGTGACTACAGCAATGGGCTCAAGTGAGGGTGGCACAGAGTAGAACTGGGTTCAGATCTATTCTGTGGCTCACTATGGGTCATACATGACAGCACCTAATAACAATAACAACATGTAACTATATTCCCATGTACTTTACATGACATGGAGTCACTGTATAAAAAAAGAATTGATTGATGGGGAAAATTTCAGGAAGTAGAGTAACATAAAGACCTCATGGTGATAAAGGAAGAAATTTAAACTACATTGAAGGCATTGGCAAAAAATAGGGCCCCAGGAATCCGTGGGATACCAATTGACATGTTCCATCTAACATATGCAGTCCTGAATGTCCTTCCCTGTCTGTGCCAGGAAATTTGGAAGATAACTACCTGCCTAACTTTTTGGAAGAGATACATATTTATTCCCATTCCCAAGAAAGGTGATCCAACAGAATGTGGAAACTATCAAATGGTACTATTAATATC